CATGAGTTATTTACTTTCAAAAGAAATATTGATCAATTTGAAATTGTGAACAGTTTATATGATTTAACAGAGGTTTTTTTTGGCTAAATGTTTCTTATTTGACTGCTTAAGCATGTGAATATACATTTTAGACATTTTTTCTTGATATTATCCTTATATCAATAATAGAAAAAGCATCCTTTTGGAATTATATAGCTTATTTCTTTTTAGAAAGACTGCTCTCATATAATTTTTTTTAACACATAGATGTATTTTTGGGACTTTGTTAAGTATATGTGGATAAATATGTGGATAGTTAACCCTAGTATCACTTTCAGACAGGGTCATACTTAGGTTACATTTTAAATACTGTCTGTTTTTCTTAATGAGAGAATGTACTTTTTCTTAATGTAAACAGAAGGGGGTAGTTTTTAAATTTAGTAGTAAATTTCTTCTTTTTGCCGAAGTAAGTTAGTGCTATAGCCTGTAAAATGAGAAGGTTACTTTAACCAAGCTGTTTTTCAAAGAATTTTATATCAAGGTTAAATTTAGAAAAATGACCAGAAAGTACTTGAGCGTACAGAAAGTACTTCTATCAGATTTTTTAGAAGCAGGCTATATATAGTCTTCTCTGACCAATATGGTAACCACTAACCATGTGTGGCTATATAAATTTAAAATTCAATAAAATTAAAAATTGGTTCTTCAGTCACAGTAGCCACATTCTAAGTGCTCAACAAACATGTATGGCTGGTTGCTATCATATTGGATAGCACAGAATAGAACATTTCCATCATCACAGAAAGTTCTATTGGATAGCGCTGTTCTATGTTATTGAATCGTAAATAATTTGTTTTCATTCGTCTGTAGTTATTTTGTGCACTATCTAAACAGCAGAAGAAAGAGCAAGCCCAACTTTAAAGATAGACTTGTGTAGCGCCTCAGTTGGTTTGAGAATGGTGCTAATGAGATTCGTCTTTTTCTTTTTCTTTTTTTTTTTTTTGGTGAGGAAGATCAGCCCCGAGCTAACATCCAATGCCAATCCTCCTCTTTTTTTTTGCCGAGGAAGACTGGCCCTGGGCTAACATCCATGCCCATCTTCCTCCACTTTATATGGGACGCCACCACAGCATGACTTCACAAGTGGTGCATTGGTGCACGCCCAGGATCCGAACCTGCGAACCCTGGGCTGCGGAAGCAGAATGCGTGCACTTAACCACTTACGCCACCGGGCCGGCCCCAAGATTCGTCTTTTATTATTTGTTGTTACAGTAATGCATCTGTTTCCCAGTTTCAGGCCCATACCTCTGTTAGCAAGTTATGACTAAGAGTGACTTGATCAGATTTGTGCTTTGAAAAGATCACATTCCCACTGTGATGTAGGCAACAGGTCAGAGAGAGACGAATGTGGATGTAGGACTACTAGCTAGGAGGCTAGGGAGTTGTTCAGGCAAGATGTATGTCGTGGCACTAGGAAGAGAAGTGGGTGAATTCGAGTTGCAACGACACAGTAGAATCAAAAACACTTGGTGTTTGACTGGACCAGGGTCCAGGGTGTGTGTGTGTGGGGTGCAGCAGGAAAGGAGGTGACAAGGATGTTTACGAAGTGTCTAGCAAAAACAGTAATGGTGCCATTTGTTGAAGTATGTGACACTGAAGGAGGAGCAGGTTTAGGGGATAAAATGATGAGTTTGATTTTAGAATTAAGTTTAAGGTACCTGTGAGATATCTAACAGGAGGTGGCAGTTGGGATGTGTGGATCTTGGCCTCAGTGGTAAGATTTGGAGTAAAGATATAAACTTCAGAGTCCTTGGCTACATGAGGAGGCAGGATTGCCTAGGGGAGGAACAGAGCAATCTGTCTGGTGAACCAGCTACATGAGAATCGATGGAGGTGCCACTTGGCTGGGACTCAGGAATTGGCAAGCCCCTTGGTAATTCTCATGCATGCTAAAGTTTGAGAGGCACTGATACAGCACGTGAAAGGATGAACATCTTAAATTGAGCCATGAGAGTAAAGGGATCTGAGATATTTTTCTTTATGGAATGCAAGAAATAAGAAAGGAGACAGAGAAACCAAGGGGTAGAGGAAGGAAGCTGAGGGGATGTGCAGGCTGCCCAGCTAGGTCCTACTAAGGGAGAGGTGAGATCTCCTGTAGTTTTGTGGTTCAATCTTTTAAATTGAAAATTAAAGAGAACATTAGTCTCATTACTTAAGTCATACTCATGCACTCTAGAAAATGTGGAAAATATAGAAGAGCACCAAATATATGTACAAGAAACATAGTTCCACGTAGCCATAATCCTAGAGATAGGGCAGTGCTTGTAGCTGCCCTTGCAGGGCTTGCTGTTACCTGCCACGATAGCACCCTTCCTGCTTCTGCTCAGGGGAGCCGCTGCACTCCCCTTCACAGCTCAGCCCTCAGGCATGCATCAGCTGGTCAGGTTGTTGGGGACCCTTACGTCTCCCACCTGCCTACCGCTTGGGTGAGAGCGTTCACTGTTAGATTCTGGGAGTTTCTCATAGCCCTTAACCCAACCTGTGTGGGCCCTTGTTTGTTCTTCTCCAGAAAGCCATGTTAGCTTCTCACCATGTCACCCAAAGCTGTCCAGAACCGCGGAGGGTCTGAAGTTTTACCGTACTTGCAAGCTGACAAATTAGTCTGCCGGATTTGTGAATGTTGGTTGTAGACATGAGACTCCTGGATCAGAGACAAAGGACTTCATTACTCACAGCACGGCAAGCACATGAGCTTCCTGTTCCTGTCAGCTCCCCAGGACCCACAGCTCCATGGCGGGGATGTGGCCCGGGTAGAGGCTGTCCCCACAGTGGGCTCATGTCTGCAGCTGAGGAGACCCGAACTTAGGGAACCCACGTTATTTACAATGGGCTGCAAGCAAACCTGCCTGCCCTTTGCTCTGTAGGGGTCGTGATCTTTCTCATACCAGATAGTAAACAGACCTGCTTCTGCTTCAGAGAGACGCTGTTTCTGTCTTCCACGGCTGTGTGCTACACTAACATCCTGGAAAAAACAATCCAGAACAAGGACTGTCCCTGCCTCTGCTTGTGAGATGTGCAGAAATGGGAGAGACCTATGGAGCACTGTCTCCCAATACAGAGAAACATATTTGAAGAAAAACAAATATAACTGCTAAGAAATATTTCTTACCAAAATATCAGAGGAAGTGTTTAAATCTTATGGTGATTAATTCCCCAACACTTATTATTCTCCTAACATTTATGTTTACTTGTTATGTTATTATAATTGTTTAATATAATAATTATAACACGTTATTTCAACACTTTTTTTTGGACAGCAGGTCTTAAATAGTTCCAAGGAGCACTATTGTCTAGCTCATATATTATGACACTATTATAGTGTTTAGCTGATATATCATACTGCTTATGACACATATGTTATGTGTTTTGGGAGCCCTGATATTCTTAATATTCCTCCTGGTCCGAGGCAGGCAGGACTTGGGCTCAAGTCAGAGGCAGGAAAAGACAAAGCTGAGAGGGTATAACTCATATATACCAGAGCACTTACTCTTTTTATTTTATGTATGGGCTTTCCACATAATATTTAATGTGTAATAAAAAGATTCTTGCTTAGAAAAGAAAAGATTATTGCTTAGAAAGAGAGAAAGAAAGAAAAAAATCACCATTAGAAGGTGGTGGGCATGTTTTGGTATCCCGACTGGTTTCAAAGTTGTGCAATGCAGGTTCAGAGACTTCTCAGTAAAGCCGGAGTATGTTTTTAGTAGTGTGTTTTGTGACTGTTCATATTTCAGCTCACTTGAGTAATAGCTACTGTTAGATCCTGTGTGGTAAATAAAACACAAGTCTCATTCACTCTGGTTCACCAGCCTCCCTCGCTGTGAACACTTAAAGGGCGCTGACTCGTAGTTGAGGATGGATTTTCACCTGCCAAGACTGGACTAGTAGAAAAGGCCACTTCAACGCTGAGTCATCGTTTAGGGCTGGGAATACTCACCTGTGATTTAGGACATTCCCTTTCCTCTCTTGAATTTGAGAAACTGGGGTGCTGTTATTTAAGTGCAACCTTTTCCTTTAATTCAGAAATTAGAAAATGATATTTAGGGCAAAGTTGAAATAAGTGTATGTTTTGGATCTTTATTTATAACTCATATCTTTAAACTATTTTTAATGTGGAAGGAAAGATTACATGATTTATTGAGAAATGTGGATTTTTTTTGTTGTGTTAGATGTTGTAGATGAGTGCATTACGGTATAAAATATCATTATGAATCTTTAAGTTTAAGTACAGATTCGATCATTTGGTGACTTTTCAGAAATATAAGAAAGTCGTTTTGTTTTTTTGCCTTGTCCAATAGGTTTCAAGTTTAAAAGTGGCCTCTAGATTGGCCTTGAGGTCAGAATTCATTTTATATTTAAAACAAAATTGTGCATGATGTGATTATTATATTGCAGCCTCATGGATTGATGACAATTCTGTCTAATGTGAAGAAAGGAATGATAGATAATTGACAGAAATACTATCCATCTTAGTTTCTGATGTTGGATTACCATGAGGAGTTCTTGGGCTGTGCACTAGAGGGCTCTGGAGGCTGTGGGGATCTGTGGAGAACTGTGTTCTCTAGTAGATTGGTGCTTTGTGCTTTCACCACGTTGAATGTTCACTAAATTGGCTGTGTGCCTTAATCAGCCTTACATTCCCTAGTTTAGAATCACAGATAAAAATTAATCTGCTTTCTTGGTGCGAAGTGTTAGGAAAGTAATTAATTGTTTAAAATAGTTCTGCAAAATGTTTTTATGAAGAATTTTATTGGTACTTTCTTCAAAGCTTAGTGGTATTTTATATAATTTTGAAAAGTCACTCTAAACATTACAAACTATAAGCATTTAGTGTTTTTTGTCCTGCTAATAAATGTAAATTTCCTCCCTTTCCAAAGAATTTTTATACTTTCACATAGATAGAAACCTAATTGTTCATGAGATGAAATAAAATATTAAAATTGTATGTCTATTATATTTTTCAGGGAATCCGAGCCCGAATTTTAGAAACTCTGGTCATGCTTATTCTTCTTGCTTTACTTATTCTTGGGATAGTGTGGGTAGCCTCGGCGCTCATTGACAATGACGCTGCAAGCATGGAATCTTTATATGGTATGGACCGACTTGTTTAAACCAGTTTCTCTAATGGAGACTATAGTTTGAGGTGTAATTACACATTCACTTTTTAAGAGGTTTTAATTAAAAATTCTTTGTATAGTTAACCCTTGCTGTTAATTTACAGAATTAAGAAGTCTTTAGACATGTTTAAGAAAAGAGTGTTCCTGTGTGTCCTATACACAGAATGAGCAGGCAGCTTTTCAGTTTTTTGTTTTGTTTTGGTTTGGTTTTTTTTTGGTTAACTGGTTTCTGTTCTTAAAATTCTATGGAGGCTTTTTTCTCCCTTGGAACAGGTTTTACGAGAGAGTTACTTCCTGTTCTATTTTAGGTCTTTTTATTGTATAATTTAGAAATTATATGGTGTAGTAGACTCAAATAGGCAATTATGATGTTTACTATACATTAATTTATAGTCAGCCTATATCTTAATGTACGGTATTTTGGATTAACTAAAATATGTTTACATTTTTTTATAGATCTCTGGGAGTTTTACCTACCCTATTTATATTCTTGTATATCATTGATGGGATGTTTGTTACTTCTCTGTAAGTATTTTTCTAACTTAATATTGATGAGAAAGTAGAATTGTTCTATGTTCTAGAAAATTATGAGAAAGTTTCCTGATGAGATTCCTTAAGATCAGAGATTTTTAAAAAGTTGGCCCTTAACTTTTTTTATGTTCAAGAGAAATTTTGATAAACTGAAACCTTGAAATAATAATAAACCTTGTTCTCTAAGGAAAGCCTCTCCCACAGGGTTGGGGAGAGAGAGAGGTGTGTGTGCGTGTGCACACACCCCCTGTCACACAACACTAGATTCTACTTTTAAATGATGATAGAATTCTGTATGAGGAATTTGTGGTCTTCATTTCAAAATCTGTGTAGTTTTACTTGAGACATCACAACATATCTCAGGGATATTATAAGCAGATAAATATAGTTAAGAGGATTTAAGGTTATAGTTGTCACTTTTAGATATTCTTGTCTGGTTCTCAATTCCATTAGTACTTGAAATTTAATCTGTTCTTTAGTGGGTCTTCTTTAGTTTCATTTAAGTGAAAATACTTATTATTATTCAACATCTAGAGTCTTGCGTATCCTAAGCCTCTTTAGTCTTCATATGTCTTTCATTAAGTGCAGGCGTCCTCTTTAGCTGCTTCATTGATGACATGGAAGAGCCCTCTGACAAAACACTGAGAGAATCTAAATTTTCTTAAGATGGTGATCTTTGAGTTTGCTTTGTCTTTCTGACTAGCAGTTGTCCCACTCTGATGTGAGCTTTCTCTCTGTCAATGATCTTCTCGTTTCGCAGTGTGTACCCCAGTTGGCCTTTCCCGCATGTTCACAGTGATGGGCCAGTTGTTGGTGAAGCCAACAGTAAGTATGTCACTGTAAATCATTTTATTTGTTAAATAAATGTGTTTACATTTGAACATCTTTTAGCTTTCAAACTAGCATTCAGAAACATAAGAATATTTTTGTGGGTTTATGACCCAAATTGTTGTTGTTTTTATTTTAATCTTTTTCATCTTTGGAATCCAAATTTGTTTTTGCTTTTAAAATGCTACCTGTAGGCACTCAGGAAAAATTCCTCTAGCAAATTTTAAGACAAAATTTACACATATTTATAGGTATTTTATGTGTCTGTTATATCAAATAGTAACTCTATTATGTTTCAAAATTTACCACATATATTCTTTGATTTACAAAGCAGCTATGTTTTTGAGAATTTGTCTTATGTTATAGCTTGATTAATTGAATTATACTTTTCCCTTTAATCTCAGAAATACTATATCTTCATTTAAAAATTATTTTCAATTTGTAGTAATTCTAATGATTTGTCCCTAAGTTTCTTTGGCTTCACCCTGTTTTGTCAAATATTTAATAATATGAAAATACTTTTTAGCTACTTCTAGGGAATTTGTCACTGAAATGATTTTAATGGATCCTCATTGCCTACAAACTCAAGTCTAAACTACTCACACATTATAAGGCCTTTCACAACCCTCCCACACTGCATTTACCTCTAGCTGCCCCCTGCACTACTCCCCTCTCCGGTGACTCGAATTCTAGGCTGGCCCGCTGACGTGCTGTGCTCAGAACAGGCTCTTGGCTTTCGCTTACCCAAGCACGTCTAGGGTCTTTCTCCCGCCAGCGCCTCCTACTGCTCCAGCCGCCTGACAGCCTCCTTAAGGCCCAGCTCTGACATCAGCTGCGCTCACTACCTGTCTCTGAACCTATCTCACTTCTTCTTTAAGCTGAAATAATTAAGCTCCTTCCTCTGCATTTCACTTATTCCCCTTTGTCTGTATTTCACTAGTAGTCCCTATTATTAAATAATTATGGTTATATATTTTTCTTCCCTATCAGGGTGATTCATCAAGGGAAAAAACTGAGGAATATCATAATAGATATTCTTTTAGTAAATGCTTGCCTAATTTTGAAAGTTTTTTTTTTTTAAATCAAAATCTCTTCATGTCTTCTTTTTAAATTAGATTTTTTAATTGCTGCATAAATACATACACACTCAAATCCAATACACATGCTATCAGATCTTGAAATTCACTTTCGTCTTAAAGAGATTTTGTGACACTGCATTCATTTAGTTTCTTCCTAATTCTCTGGGTTTTTTTTTTTTTTTTCATTTTCTGCCCCCTAAATATAGGCAAATGTTTAAAGTTCTGTCCTTGGTCTAAAGTTGCTCTGCTCTGTTCTCCTGACCACCTCTGCCACTTCCACATCACTTCTAAACATCTATTTCTAGTGAAAAAAAGACAAGTAAAACAAACTACAGTACATTTTAGGTGCTATAATTCAATACCCTGTGGAGCTGAAAACTCAACATCTATAAAACCGAACTGCTTATTTATCTCTTCTCCCCAAGCTGATTTTTCTCCCAAACTTGTCATTATTAACAATATCCTCAAAACTTTAATTATCTTTGCCTCTTTTCTTGTTCCTAATATCCAGTAATGATGGTTACTGTTGAGTAATTGAGTATATGCTATATGCTTGTGATAAATATTTTAAACACATAATTTCATTTATTCCTGATTACTAACCCATAAGTTAGATGGTAGTGTTCTTTTTTTATGGCTGAATTATCTGCAGTTCAGGGAGATTAAGTAGCTTGTACCAGATCACAGATCTGTGAGGATGGGGCAGGATTTGAACCGAGAGGCTTGTTTCAGAGCCTGGGCCCTGGACCACTGTTCTGTTCTCCATAAGCTCTAGTCGTCGAGCTGCTTGATTGCTGAGTGTACTTTGCATCTCTCCACCTCTGTATTTTGCTTGTAGTTTTCTCTGATTGAAATTCCTGTCCTCCTTTTGGTAAATTAAGCTATCAGGTCAGATGCTACTACCATCAAAAACACTTGCCAAAACTTGTTTTTTCCCCAAACTAGAAGTTGGGAATCTTTCTTCTTCTGAACTTTTGTAACATTTTATTTTAGCTTCAGTTATGACATTTATTTTAATCCTATAATTATTTCTTTGAATTCATCATATCTCTCCTGGATACTGGAATATAAGCCGTTTGAGGTCAAGGACTGTGTCAATACGTCAGACCCATATTTAGGTCTCTGTCAGCCCAGAGTTGTTAAGAGCATGGGTTTTGACGGCAGATAGCTTCTCTTTGCCAATCCTTTGTTTCTTGACATATTCCGAGATGGGGCTGATAATAGTCTATTTTTCATAGGGTTGTTGTAGAATCAAGGGGATGATGTACTTCACATACAATATCTGTGTGTCCCTCATTGTCACTCACTCTCACCCACACATACCTGTGGTAGTGAGTCATTCTTGGACAGTTTGCACAGTAAGAGGAAACCCTTTTGTATGTGTTAGACCTTCGGAAAAGTAGAAACTGTCAGTTGTGATCCAAGCAGTAGAAAGTGGTGAGAACATTGATGGGAAAGAAACCTCATATCATGGCCCACAAAGATAAGGTCTTTAATTTAATTATAAATTAGTTAAGATTAATTTATCTTAAGGATTTAATTTAGTCCTTTAGACTTAAAAACTATCCAGTTCAAATGTATGTCAATTTTGTGATAATCAGCTTTCGATGGGCTTAGTTATATACTAAAATATTTTTGCTTATTTTGTAAATAGAATAGTTTGAGCATTTTTATTTTAGATTCCTAGTAATTGGAATGATTATCTAAATTATAGGCCAGAGAGCCTAAACATTCTCATAAGCACTAGTTTTGTAATCTTGCGTTATTCAGTAGTTTGATCTTTCAACTTAGATTCTTGAAGACCTGGATGAACAAATTTATATTATTACCCTTGAGGAGGAAGCCCTCCAGAGACGACTAAATGGTATGTATATACTAACATATTTAGACCAGAATGAAAATTATTTAATTCAAAGAAGACAGATAATTGAAGGGGAAAAATACCAGCCTCTCAGTACCTTGTGCTGTTGCCTGAGATTAGGACTTCATAGTTACACGTGAACTTCCCAGTGAGGAAGGGTTTGCTGACGACTAGTGGCGTGTTGGTAAAGTTCCCATCTTTCCCTAATGGAAACTAGCTGTGACCTAGCGAGGTCAGTTCAGTGCTGAGACACTGCCACTAAGGTATGCCCCCCCCCCCAGGTCCTCGTGTGTTTTCACATCGTGACTTAGGGTCACTGACGCTTTGCGGGTTCGCATGTGGTTTTAGTGACTGTGATATCTCTCCTTCATTTCTCACCTATGAAATCCTTAATTTAAGGTGAAAAAAAAATAGTGTGTTTCTTGGATGCTAAGGTACCAAATTTGACTCTCTAAGTTGTACTTAAGAACTCTGTTGTTATTTGGGAATGCTGTTCATTATCAGCTGATAACCAAGTAAGCATATCAAAGATTTTAAAATTTAATTTTTAATTACTGATCATTTGTGGCTTCAAATGAAGAACTAGTGAAGAAAAGAGTAATAACGTAGTTTAACAGAGAAATGACATAGTTTGGGTAAATTTTCTTTTGATTTTACTTAAGTGATTTTCACCCTACACTCTTTTCTCTTACAAAGTATATATTTTTCTAATGTTGAAAACCCAACACCAAGATCAGATTATTAATAGCTGTCTGTATTTCAGAATCATAATTCAAGAGTAGGTATAAAATAGAAGGTTACTTTAAGTATGAAATATTGAGAAATAGGAAGAAATATACATACTTTCTTAAATTGCAAATAGCAAATTTAAATCATCAACCTAAAAGTGTTGATAACATTTGGAGTTTTGTTCTTAGATCAAAGAATTTCAGATTCTGTCAGTTCTAGAGAATTCTTGTCAGTAATATTGTGTACTTTGATATACTGATAACTTTTAGACTGGAACTACATGTATTTTCTATTCTCCCAACTTTGTTAAAGCTAGTTTAACGTTTAGGCCTATGTAATTTCAGAAATATCTTTAATCAATACTGTCAGCTTTATAACATTTTATCAAAGTAGTAAATATTATAATAAATTTGTCTTATTAAATAATCATGCTATTGTGAAATAAACATGCCTGAATTATAAAGAATAGATGTCAAGCTGCCACCTGCAGTTTGAGATTCTGTTTCCACCTAAGGTATATGCTATTTCTAGCTTACAGATCAAGAGGCTAGGATCCAGGAAGGGTAAAATATAGTGCTCCTGAATTAAAGAATTCGAATTAAGTCTAATCAAAACCAAACCAAACCAAAAATATAGCCCTTTCTCACTTTGCCCTTTCACAGTAGGAAAAAAAAAAGTCCTCTAGAATCGTTCTAGATTCTTTGGTTCCTCAAATCAAAATTGGTTCGTTATATCTAAAGAAATTGGAAATGAAATACCTGCCAGAAGGCTAAAGTATTATAAAATGAAGCCAAGCCAAAATAAACAAAACACCCCAACTAGCACAGAAATGTTGTAGTTTGGAGAGGATTAAGGATGATATGTTAGCTAATGCTACGTATAATTTTATTTCCTACTGTTCTGGTAGGCCTTGCACCACTTCTGACTGCTCTGTGGGTAGGTTGTTGTTAAAATCTTTCCAGTGAGAGTCTTGAATGATATGTTGAGACAGTTGCTGTAGTTTTACTGTTTGCTGCAGGTTAGCACTGTGGACTATTTCAGGTGGAAAATAATAGGCTTGTAACATAAATGGTTCTATGGCAAAATGGACATTTTGAGTAATATAGAGCAAGAATTGTGAGCTTCTGTAGTGTGTATCATATGTGCAAAGGAAAGAAACCAAGATGGAATGAAACGGTATTTTATGATTTGCTGTTTTTGAGAAAGTGTAGATCATAGGAGGTTAGTAGTAGAAATCATCTCCATGGATCTTATTTAATCTAGTATGTGTCAAATGTATTTTGTTGTAACAGTTATTTTATATTTTAAATTATTTTTAAAAAGTGAAGTTTTTATTTTTTTTACTCTGGGCTATTAAAAAGAATTGCAGAATGATGAGAGTAAAAGATTTTTTAAAAAAATACCCCAGAATTTGTGGTGGTGTTTTGCTAATGGCACACTGAGTGTGCTTTCTTGGTCTGTGTGGGGATGTGATGCACAGCACAGCAATCTTGGGGATTTCTTTGTGGTTTTCTCTGAGCCTCGCTTTACTGTTATCTGAAAAAACATAATACTTAATATCAAGAAGTGCTTTACTGTAGGGATAAAACTATTTTTTTTCCGGAAGATAATATGACTTGTTGTGGTAGTTACTATATTATTGGAGTTGAATTTTCAGGCCCGGTTTTTAAAATATCAGTACGTGTAGCTTATGATGGAGTACCTGCCTGTGACTTCTCCCTTGTTCCTGACACTTGATGGTGCTGGCGGTTTTGTTCTTGTTAATATTATTATTACTTCATAAAATATGTTAATAAAATAAAGCTGACCTGTGCAGTGAAAACATAAATCAGTGTCCTCAAGAAGCCATCTTGTTACCAGTCTGCTCTGCTCTTTCTCCTCCTTTTTCTCTTTCCTCTGTATTTTCTTCTGGGCACCAGACGTTGTGCAGATGAATTTAGACTCTGAGTCTCAAGATCATAGACTAGTTGACTCAAGAAGAGACAGAAAAGGGTGAGAATCTACAAAGATTTTATCCAGCACTGAAATACTTGAAAAAAGAACTCGAGGGGAAGGAGTTGCATGTGCTCCTGGAGCAGGAGGGAGCCCCAGAGTTCTACACCATCTGATTAAGAGGGCCCCTCCCTGGTGTCCACATCATCAGGGCAGAAGAAAAGATATGTCCCCAGAAATCACCACAGTCCTGGCAAGACTCCAGCTTCTTCCCGTCCCCGGTCACCCAGCCTCACTCTGCTGTCTGCCTTCAGGCCATCAGGAATAATGGATACATTTTGCCCTTTCCCCCGTTTCTTATAGTCAGCATAAGGAGCCCAGCATATCTAGGTCCTTTGCATCTCAGACTCTCTGTCCCCCAGGTCTCTATACATCCCATTTCTGACCTGATTTCTCACTGTCTGTTAGCTCCTGAGACTTGCTGCTTGTACCATTTGGAACCAAGAGCTAACCTAGCTGCAAAACCCTTAGATCCTCAACCTTCACTCTCTTGCTTGAAGAAACTTGGCTCTCCCAGCACACATTGCTTCTCCTGGAACTCTCTCAGGTGGTAGCTCTGTTCTTTCCCATGTCCCTCATTTTATTACTCCTGGAGTTTGGGTAGATGTCCTCTTGTTCTCTTTTTGCTGCTTTCAAACACTTTGAATCTCATGTCATTAGACTATGAACCGATTACTTCTCCCTTTTTTCCTTTTCCAGTCGCTTCTCACCTCCCAGGTTATTCCTCCTCCATTCTTGAGGATTTTAGCTTCTGCTTCATGATCATTCTGTCTACTACAACACCTATCATAATTCTTGGTGATTTCAGTGTCCATGTGGATGACCTTTCCAGTACTCTGGGAAGTTCCTTGATCTCTCTCTTCTAATGATCTTCCTAAGCCACTCACTGCCTGGGATTATAACCAAGGCCTGGTCATGAGCAGTAACTCAAGTTCTTGCATAATCTCAAAATCAGTCATACCCCTCTCCAGCTCTTATTTTATCAGCTCACTTCCTCTAGTACTCCATTTCCTATGATTCTTCAGTATTGAGACTTCACATGCCATTTATTTATCCTAATAAGTTTTTATCACCTTTTCCCCCTCATTTCCTTCATACCCTTGCTTCCTCACACACTATAAATTCCTGGATCGTTGTTATAATCAGTCCCTTACGTGCACTTTCAATTCCCTTTCCCTCTCTCCCTTGATTGTACTCATGCCCGGCCAAACTCCGGCCTTGCTTATAGCCAACTCTTCACTCTCTGTACTCACATCTGTTCTGCTGACTAACCATAACTGCCTGGCCTTTCTTTAAATGTATGACCAAGATCTTAAATTTACTTTACAATTCTCCTGGATGACTATTTTATATCTTCTCTTTCCTCAAACCTTCACCATCACCCTTAGCTGATAACCTATTTTCTTGAGAAAATAAAAGCAATCATGACAAAAAATTTCACAAGCTTTTTCCTTCATAATGATTCACCAACCTGCAGTTCCCCCTGCATGCACTGCCTTTTCTCCTAATGCTGTGGCTGAATTGTCCATGTTTCTGGCTAAGGTCAGCCTTCTCCTAATGCACTGGATTCTGTCCCTTCTCACTGATTCAGGACAAAACTCTAGCCATTCTACTGTCTCTCTTAGATGATCAGTTTTTCCCCAACTGGATCACTTCCATCAGCATAGAGACATGCTATAATTTTTCTCAATAGAACGAAAGAAAAGGAAGGAAGGAAGAAAAGAAGGAAGGAAGAAAAATAAATCAATCTGTCTTGACCTCCTATGCCCTCTAGCTCATCACCTCATTGCTTTGCTCGTATTTATAGCAGAACTCACAAGGGTTATACACTTAACAGTTTCGTTTCTGTGCTTCACATTTGGTGTTGAACTCACTCTTGCCTCCACTACTCTACTGAGATGCTGTTGTCAAGTTGTCCAGTGACTTTGTAGTCCTCATCTTACATTCTTTCCTCCTTGAACTGTTTTCTGTTCCACTTGGTTTTTAGTTCACTACACTTGCCTTGTCCTTTTACTTAATGAGCTGCTTCTCAATCTACTTCTCTGGTTTTTCTGTGTCCATAACTTCTTCACACTGGAATGCCTCATGTCTTAGTCCTTAAACTCTTCTCTTTTCTGTTTACCTGCCCTCCTTTGGTTATCTCATCTGGTTGCATGGCTTTAAATACCATCTGTATCCTGCTGACATCTCTTCTGACCTCCAGCCTTATAGATCCAATCGTCTAGTAGATATTTCCACTTGTTGTCTAATAGACATCTTAAACGTATGTTGTCCAAAATCAA